TAGTGCCATCTACCACTAGGAATCAGTAGGAAAACTAATTAGTACAGAGAACCAGTCCCAGGGTTATCATGGGTGGTCAGGATGACTGTTACTGAAAGACTATGGAAGTATTGCTGGTGGTTGTATTTGTTCTCTGTAGAGGCCTTATTTCCTATGATGTTATCTGCTTTGCAGCTACATTTGGCATTTTCTGGGTGACCATCAGTATTTCCTGTTCAGTAATGATACCATGACCTTCCCAAATCCGTGGAGAATGGAGAATCTTTTTATCTCACAAGTTTTACATATTCCTGCCTTACAACAAGAGTTTTGACAAAGTTCTTTTACTGATACTATGGATGATCAACTACAGAAAGTCAGTTATTTTTTCCAGAATTATTGCACAGCCCTAGATTTAGGCTCAAAATCTGCTTACATATTTCTCTGTTCTAAAAGAATATTCTGAAATTTGGTTCATTCCAAAAGATAATTTCAGAAGATTATTGTATGATTTACTACATTGGCAGCATTTTGTAGAACAGACCTTCTCAACCTTGGAAGCTTGACTGATTCAGTAAACAGATCATACCTGTCTGTCTTTGTATTCTTTCCATAAAAGCATTTCTTCTGTTATCAGCAAGTCTTGTAAGAACTTTATTCTCAGATGTATAATGGCTCAGGCCTTCTCCCATAGGAAATATTCCAGACTGACTTCAACAGTAATAGGCACAACTCTCTCTGTATAACGGGTGATGTTTTTTCTGAAGTCTAAGTATCCAATAGAATGTGGTACATGTTCAATGTGTGATACCTGTTCAAAATTGTTTACGTCTGTGGTAGAATGAAACTGTTACAGAATGCTTCATCTTTTTCAATTTCTTTTCACCTAAGTACACAGGTATTATAGCTTCTAAGCCCCTTTGTTGCCAGAGGCTTAGCCGTCATTAGACATCTCGGAAATATGTGAAGTTATTGCCAGAACATGTACGCTTAAAATGCAACTCATAGGCCTTACTGTCAACACCTTTCAGGAATTTCCTTCAGGAGGAAGATACTTTCAAATAGCTATTTGTAGTGCTGCCTAGGAGAGGGAAAACTTTACTTTTGATTTTTCATTTACTGGATTCAATGGAATGCACTGAAATCCTTCTGACTTCCTCAAGTCTACCCAGAGATAAAAAGAACCATCTTATGTGTTGCTGCAGTGTTATTTTTGAGCATGAGAAATACCAAATGTATACTAATCACAACAATCTTGTCAAATTTACTTAAAAGTTTAGAACAAGAGAGAATCAAATCTGTCCTCTCTATTTGAAGTGTAACTGAAAAATGGTAAATGTTCCCTTGTTGCAACTTCAGAAATATTCATTTAAGAGATAATTCAAGAGTAAGATGTCAGTAAGATCTTTTTGAAAAGTTTTGAGCTGCCTCTAATATTTGTAGAAATAAAAATGCATCCTGTATTTCCAGTGAATGGTATTCATTGCCTTAAAAGAAATTAGTAGCTAACGGTTTCTCCTATACATTACACTGAGACGATCTTGTAAATTATTGTCTAAAGAAATAGTAATTAGGAGAAGCGTGTGTGTGTGTGGAGGGGGCATCACAAGAATAGGAATCTCTGGTGGAAGGCAAGTGAGACATCTTCGTAGGGTGTAGCCAGGTCTTTAGTACTAGTGATTGAGTGTGGTGTCTAATTTGAGTAGGGGAAATGGAGTAGTGAAAAGATCTTGAGAATCAGGAGGTAAGGGGGGCTCAAGACAGCTGGCTGCTATTTAAACGTCACCTCCTCCAAGCTCAGGATCGGTGCATCCCAAAGAGAAAGAAATCAGGCAAGGGAAGCAGGAGACGTCCATGGCTGAGCAGGGACCTTCTGAAAAAGCTCAGGTGGAAGAAGGGAGTTTACAATAGGTGGAAGAAGGGGCTGACTGCTTGGGAGGAATACAAGAATGCTGTCAGGTTATGCAGGGAGGGAACAAGGAAAGCCAAGGCAGCCTTGAATTGAACCTGGCGAGGGATGTCAAGGCCAACAGGAAGGGTTTCTTTAAGTATATAGGAGGCAAAAGGAAAACTAGGGAAAATGTAGGCCCACTGATGAATGAGATGGGTGCTGTGGTGACAGATGATGCAGAGAAGGCGGAGTTGCTAAATGCCTTCTTTGCTTCTGTCTTCACTGTTTGGGCCAGTCCTCGGGAGACCCAGACTTTGCAGGTAACAGAGAAAGCCTGGAGGAAGCAAGACTTGGTTGATGAGGAACAAGTTAGAGATTAGTTAGATAAACTGGATATACACAAGTCCATGGGGCCTGCAAGTGCTGAGGGAGCTGGCGGAAGTAATTTCTGGGCCGCTCTCCATCATCTTTGAAAGGTCCTGGAGAACAGGTGAGGTGCTTGAGGACTGGAGGAAAGCCAATGTCACTCCAGTCTTCAAAAAGGGCAAGAAGGATGACCCAGGAAGCTATAGGCCAGTCAGCCTTGCCTCCATCCCTGGAAAGATGATGGAACAGCTTGTGCTGGGCGTCATCTCCAAGCACCTGGAGGAAAAGAAGGTTATCAGAAGTAGTCAACATGGATTCACCACAGGGAAGTCATGTATGACTAATCTGATAGCATTCTACGATTGCGTGACTGGCTGGGTGGATGAGGGGAGGGCAGTGGATGTTGTCTACCTTGACTTCGGCAAGGCTTTTGACACTGCCTCCCACATCATCCTCACAGGCAAGCTTAGGAAGTGTGGGTTAGATGAATGGATAGTGGGGTGGATTGAACAGTGGCTGACAGATGCTGGGGAGGAATAACCCCATGTACCAGTACAGGTTGGGGGCTGACCTCCTGGAGAGCAGCTCTGTGGAGAGGGACCTGGGAGTCCTGGTGGACAACAGGATGACCATGAGCCAGCAATGTGCCCTGGCGGCCAAGAAGGCGAATGGCATCCTGGGGTGCATCAAGAAGAGTGTGGCCAGCAGGTCAAGGGAGGTCATCCTACCCCTCTCCTCTGCCCTGGTGAGGCCGCATCTGGAGTACTTCTGGAATACTGTGTCCAGTTCTGGGCTCCCCGGTTCAAGAAAGACAGGGAACTGCTAGAGAGGGTCCAGAAAAGGGCTACGAAGATGATTAGGGGATTAGAACATCTCTCTTATGAGGAAAGGCTGAGGGACTTGGGTCTCTTCAGTCTAGAGAAAAGAAGACTGAGGGGGGATCTTATTAATACATACAAATACTTAAAGGGAGGGTGCCAGGGGGATGGGAGCAGTCTTTTTTCAGTGGTGCCCAGTGATAGGACGAGGGGTAATGGGCACAAGCTTGAACATAGGAAGTTCCATCTTAACATGAGAAGGAACTTCTTTACTTTGAGGGTAGTGGAGCACTGGAACAGGCTGCCCAGAGAGGTGGTGGAGTCTCCCACTCTGGAGACATTCAAAACCCGCCTGGACGCTGTCCTGTGCAACCTGGTGTAGGTGACCCTGCTCTGGCAGGGGGGTTGGACTAGATGATCTCCAGAGGTCCTTTCCAACCCTGACCATTCTGTGATCAGCATGAGTCAAAACAGGGCTTCCCAATATTGTGGCTTTTATTGGCAGAATATGGAGTTGTTGCTGGTGGTCAAGAAAGGGTAAGATAAACCCATTTTTATACCCGGCTCTACATACAGAGGTTATAGGACTTTGCACAGAACGTACTAGGGAGAGAAAATAAGTATAGTAGTCTGTGCAAAGAAGTCATCAGTAAAGGCACACCTTTCATTTAAATTGAAGCTTTGCTAGAGGTACCATTCTTTTTTTTTTCATCTACAGGTCAGTATATTGCTTAAAGATTCTTATTGTTTCTTGAAATATCTGATGGAAATTTAAACTTCAGAACTTTCTTGTTTAGTGGTGTATTTTGAATGAAGCACATGGGGACTTGTATTCCAATTAGTATTTGAGTGTTGTTAGAAATATTGATCTATGATGACCTAAACCAGAATGACTAATAATAATCTCAGTCACTGCTTTCTGAAGATCAGTATTCCCCAGTGGATGAATGAGATCAGATAAATGATTGCTGTATTTAACAAGAGGAGGCTGGCCCTGTTGACCCAGCCAATAGGTTTTTCTTTTTTGTTTTTGTTGGTGTTTTTTTTTTTTCTACACCTGTATTCCTTTTTAAGCCAAAAATTATAGCTCAAAATTATAATTGGGACAGGTTGAAAAGCTTCTCTGTTTTTCAGAGCTTTTTCTGGGCTAACAATTATGGGAAGCTCTTAATCTGAGGAACAAAAAATTTCATGTGATTAACTGGAGAATGTTTTTAATAAAAAAAGTCCTCTTAAAAATTTCTCTACATGTACTCAAAGCCTGAAATAGGTGCGTGTAGAAGTAAAAATTCATACATTAAAAAAAAAGGGGGTGATAAGGCAGGGAATGATAGAAAAATGCTGTAAGACAATTAGTGGGTTTTAGATAGTAATGAGTGGGAGGGGTTGGAATGAGTTTACCTAAAATTAAAAAAAAAAAAAAGTTGAAAATGAACTGTCAGAATCAAAGTCAAGGAGGTTGTGTTTGTTTTGATTTCTTTATATATATATATTTAATTACTTAAAAACGTGTGGCTGAAATGGCTAATGCCTTTACATTGATCATTAAGTCTTCATCACTGGACCTTATTAAGAATCTTTTTGATATTTCCCTTTTCTGTAGTCAACTTGCTTTCATTGACTATTTTCTAATAGTTGATATTCTGAACTTGCAGGTACTATTTTTATTTATTCTTTTTTGGTGGTGGGTTTTTTGTTCCATCTTCTCTGAAATTATCCCTTCTTTACCTGCAGTGGATGGCTAAAATTCCTAGGAAATACACTGCAACTATGTGGAATACAACTTGATGTAGACATCATGTGCTTCCTACCAATCTCACCGTGACCTTTTGTGAACACAGATATATGTACAAATACATATTAAAATTCTGTAGGTTATATTTAGTGTGTTTTTATATAAACATCGAACAACATAACTGTTCAGTTTTTCTGAATTATTATTCTAGGATCAAGACAACCTTTAATCCAACAATCTCAGCCTCCACCTTATTCATCACCTAGAGACGTTCCCCCAGACATATTGTTAGATTCTCCAGAAAGAAAGCAAAAGAAACAAAAGAAAATGAAGTTAGGCAAGGATGAAAAAGACCAGACTGAAAAAGCTGCAATGTATGATATCATTAGTTCTCCTTCCAAGGACTCCACTAAGCTTACATTAAGACTCTCTCGTGTAAGATCTTCGGATATGGACCAGCAGGATGATATGCTTTCTGGTTTGGAAAACAGCAGTATGTCAGAGGGTGATATTCCTTTTAATGTGCAGTATCCAGGACAGACTTCTAAAACACCCGTTACTCCACAGGATGTTAACCACCCACTAAATGCTGCTCAGTGTTTGCCGCAGCACGAACAGACAGCTTTCCTTCAGGCACAACAAGTGCCTGTTTTACAACAGAACACTTCAGTTGCTGCAAAACAACCTCAAACTCCTGTGGTACAGACACAGCAACAGGTTTCGCAACAAGGAACTATAACGTCATATGATGAAGTAGAATTGGATGCATTGGCTGAAATTGAGCGGATAGAACGTGAATCAGCTATTGAAAGGGAGCGATTTTCAAAAGAAGTGCAAGATAAAGGTAAAAGGATTGTGTGTGTGTATACACTATACATATTATATAAATATATATACGTGCATATATATAAACCTTCTTGTCATTGTCACATAGTTCAATTCTGTTTACTCAGTGTAGATGATTCTATGACATTCATCTCTATTCCCCTCCAACAATGAACTGTAATCTCTCATATATGCATATTTTTAATATCTGGTATTCTTTATTTGGGATCTTAATGGATGGAAAGTGAAGTTCTTATGTTTCAAAATTATTTTAAAGCTACTCTTATTTTGAACTATCAGACAGAATAAAATACAATTGATGTTTATAGTTTCTAAAATTCCAGCATTACCATAAGTAAAAATTTGTAATAAGTTTTGGTAGTTGAATTATTAATGAACTATCTATGTTGCCTAATTTAAGAAAATACAGGAAAACTCTTTTATGCTATTTCTATTCATATCCCAATTTGAACCTCAAGTGAAGGAGGTGTTAGACTAAAATCACATCTATTCTTTTAAAGGCTCTGTAATGATTTGGTGATATGTATTGTCTCCAGTGTTTGTTCAACTGGATATTCATATTATATAGGCATTACAAGTTTTAGAGAACTACCATATATCTATATGGACTCCAGTACAGAACCAGATGAGCCTCTGAAATGTTTGCTCTTCATTTCAGTAGCTGTACTGGTTGTCTTAACTGATTTCATTGAATCTGTCCTCTTTGATTTTTTTTCTTTTCCCCTCCTTTTTTTCTTTTTTCTTTTTCTGTTGTTAAATGGTTTGAAGGTCTTAGGCTTCAGAAATATCAAAAGTAGATACAAAACCCACATGTAAATCTTGAAGATAAGATGTGGTTTATAAAGTAGAAAGATAGTGCTTGGTTAACATAAGTGTTTTTCAGAGGCTTCCTCTGCACTGTGTTTAACTTCTGAGAAAAAAATCTTTTATAGTATAATGCTAATTTATTAGATACTCCCAAGAAAAATCTTGCAGAGTGGAAAACGGCACAGATTCTGATTTTGGAAGTCCATAGGTGAAAATGGTTAATTTTGGACATACTTGCATGGAGGCGATTTGATTTACATACAGTTTGGGTCTTTAACAAGCTGAGAGAGCACAAATTTTCTCCCTATTCAAAGATATTTTTTTCCTGTTTTTAAAGATGTAGAGAGAGAGAGAGTGTGTGAGTTTGTTGTGTTCGTGTGTGTGTAAATGTTCTTGTTGCAATTACTAAAAGGATTAACTTTTTAGGTATTTCTTATTTGGTAACTTAATCAAGTCTTGTTAGAAAACATTGTTTGTGAATATATGGAGAAAATGGGTGTTCACCTCAAAAGATCTCTACTGCTTTTAATTTTGATTTAATGAATTTGTTACTTTGCTTACATCTCTTCTACTAATTTTACATTTATTTATGGAGAGCTTGTGGTTTGTCTCCTACTACTTAAAAAGCTACTTTTATATCCCCACACTTCAAGTAGATTATCCAGCACATTTTAGCTGAGAAGCATCTCAAAAAATGCAGTGTATTTTTGATGGTGCACAGCAGCCTTCAAACACTTAGAGCAAGACTAAAACACTCTTTCTCTTTCAGGAGATGTTGAACATTAGTTGTGAAGTTTGTTTACCATAATTACATAGCCATGGGCAGACTCCGATTTGTTTCTTTTGGGGAAAGGAGTGATTTTTTAGAATGTGATTTCTCCCTTTCACCACTGCTCAATAACCGTCTTACCAAATAAGGATTCCAGCCTTATGCTTCCCTTCTACCTGCATCCTCTGTGAGGTCTCAGTTCTTCCTGAGTTCTTGCAATTGCTATGGATCAGGTGTAAGAGTTGCTGCCTTATATTGGGACAAATGATCACCATTTATTCACTGGTGGTAAATTGCCCCTATGCTAGACAGCAGGTCTTTTCACTTTAGCTGCTGAAGTTTCAGCTATGAACAAATAGTATTGAGTAGAAGGATTTTTAGCATTCTTGGGACAGATTTCCTGGAAAGCTGTTACCTTGGAGAAATATGATTCTTATGTTTTGGTAAAGCTTTTGCCATTGCTTGTAAGTTTGTACTATGTCTGCAAGTTGATACACTCTGGGATTGTTCTAGTTATGGATGTTTGGTTTGGTGTGACTGCAGGAGGAAGCTTCCTCTGTTGTTCCTATGGGAATATGTCTGTTAGAAATATATCCAGTAACTCCTAAATACGTCATTCATTTTTGTGAAGTTGCTTACTGTATTTATGCAAAAGCTTGGCATTTGTGCATTTTAGTACATATACTGTAACTTCAGATCACATTATGTCAAGAAAATAGTGTGATTGTAGCATGTACTTGATCTAATTAGAATAGGAACGTATAGTGCTAGCTGATGCTGTAAATAGCAAGCATCCCTCTAGAGATCCTACTCTAGATGCTAGCACATGCTAAAATCTGCATGAAAGCATCTTTGCTGCTTTTGTAATTGAGGCATGGGGATACATATTACAGTCACACTACACTTTCTGTGTAGGCACACGTTGTTGTCTTCCATAAATTGCGTTGAGTAGAATTGTACTTGCAAATTTTAATAGAAGATTAGTCGTCTCTTCTGTCCTTTTTTAGATATGAAATCTCTACAGTGCTATGCTTCATCAAAGGTTTGCAGATGCTTCTTTTTTAACAGTAAGGCTTTGGATGGATATGACATGTTCTTTCTGAGGTTGGGAACTAGTAGTGCAGTGGAACTGTTTATTCCAGAGGAGAGGCAGAAATGTTTTTTTGGGAGGTTCTTTCTAAAAATTATACTACTACTACACTTGCCTAAGGCAATGCTAAGGTCTTTTTTTTTTTAATGCTGAGGTCCTTTTATAATGTTTGGTACAGGTGGTAAATGGAGATTGGAGTCCTTTGGAAATTATAGTACTTTCTGTAATAAATTCTTAATTCTAACAAAACTGTTAAAATATTTAGCTTCCACCAAAGTCTCTCAAAGTAGGAGGCAGTCTTCATTCCAGAGGTGGAACTACCACAGGGTTTTGCAGAAGTGCCGCCGCCTTTGAAAAGCAGTGTATCTTTCTGGAACCTGATTGTCATGCTTTTGCTTTCTGAAAAAGGAATTCTTAGCGCAAAAATCACTAATGCAAAATCTGTGATTCAGAAGTGTTAATACAGAAAGGGATTATCTTTTTCCACAACAGTCAACAACAAGTGAACCATCCTCTGCTTAGGTACATCAGGATACCTTTCTAAAGAAATTAGAAATAATGAAGCTTCATGCACACTTTCTCTAATCACTGTCAGTAGTCACATAACCTGTACTACTTGGTGCTCTTGAATACTTTCAAAACAAGCAGAGGTCCATATTCTGAACTTTGTTCACTTAACTGGAGCTGTGCTTAGTTCACATTCTGAAGTTGAGCACTCCAAGAAAGTACAGGAAATCCTGTGGAGTTTTAGAAAATTATGTCCCAGGATTTTCTGTTCTTCTCAGGAATCTTTTTTTCCTTGGGGGGAGGGGGAGAGGTGTTGAGGAAGAAATTTCAGTTTGGTAACCTCATTTCTTTGCATTAACTGGTGCTTTGCCACTGTTCAGATACAAGTGGGTTATTTTTGTTTATGGTCAAGTAGTTCAAAGCTAGTCAGTCATTTTCAGTCTAAACATTTCCCAGAACATTACATTAAGTTGTTCTTGTTCGTCAAGATTTAGACCTGCAACTAAATTAATTTTCAGGTTCAGGGTTTCTACCTCAAGATCTTTTATGCTTTTCTAAAACCTCCAAATACTGTGAATCAAAAATATTTAAGATATTAATGTTAAAAGGAGCTCTGAGTCTTCTAGGAAGGGGAAAAGGGAAGATAGCCTTGAAAATTACTTGAAAAAACAGAAAGCAACTCATCTTTTTTTCAGAGACTCGTTTTAAAATTGCTTTAGTTTTCTATTTTATTCAGATTTGCTAAATTTTAATTTGAGCTCTTCCATACATAGTATTGTGTGTTCATTGTTAGATTTTAGGCTACTTCAAAGACACTTATATAATGCAGCTTTTTTAACAGATTAAGGAGTTCTACTTTTACTTGTAAAAGGCACTGTTCTCTGGAGTTTGTGAGAAGAGTAATGAAATCATTAACCACTAACCGTTTCATTGGGAGGCTAATATTTTTTTATACTTAAAAGCATTAGAGGCATTTTTTAAATGAGACAAACCTACTTGTTTCTGTGGGTTTCCACACATCCCCCCCCATATATTTTACCTCTGAGGATCCATTTTACCTACTTTCAAATCTTACTGTAGATTCTTTGAATTAGGAAGAAGTGAAGCTATAATAACTTTATTTCCAATAATTGGATCAGTTAGGGGGGATTTGGATGCATGTGGTGGGCCCTTCTTTTTTTAGTTCATTCAAAGCCCATTGCAGCAGACACACACATCCCAAGAGTGTGAATCTGCCGGAGCAAAACTCAAAACTACAGTTATAGGTAAGTAAACTTTTTCTCTTACTTTTTAAGTTCTTATCCAGCTCCTCTCCCTTTCTCCCTATTACCCATCTCCCCCCAAAAGTCCCCCAAAGAGGAGACTAACAGAAGAACACTATTAAGAATTAATAGTTCATTTACATCTAATTCTATGTAGCCAATGAATGAAATGACAGAATGTGTAATTATAACCAGTATATTACCATTCATTTCCAAAAATATGTTATAGGGGTTTTATTTAATTAAAAATGGAGATACAAGTGTAGTCATTTCAATACTAATCTTGCAGAAGATTACAGTCACTAATACCAGAAGGTGAAATGAGACAGTGTAAAATATAAATGATTGTGTCTCTATGTAGTAGGACAGTGTGAGAATCAGGTATCATGTATTTTGTGTATACAAACTTTCATTAGGTCTGCATTTTGTAGTGTTATGTAATGGATGAAACTGGCACCTCATATAGCTTTCCCAAGAAAAAGCAGGCTTGCAAAGTCCAGTTCGTATAAATGAGAGACTTTTGTTTTGTGTTCAGATGTGTTTTAAGAAAAGTAAGAGGAAGA